TTCTCTCTGGTTGAGGCTGTGCCTGCCGTATCATTTTGATGTTTAATTCAAAGGAGGCCACCGTGTTAAAAGGAAGCCTGGGAGACGTTCAACCACCACCACACACATCCCTACACCTCCTAATCAGCCCCAGTAAGAGTGAAAGCATCCCAAAAGCCAAGAGGGCCCCAGTAATTTCATAGCAGGCTGGATCACGAGCTCTCCATTTTGCTGTTTCCAAAGTGCCTGATGTGCAGGAACCTCAGAAGTCTTGGCAAGCATGCTGACGGCGATGAGACACAGCGAGAGAAGAGCAGCTGTGCAGAGAAAGAGACACCGCTGGGGATGAGTCACCCAAGTTACCTCAGCTTAACTTCTACCCCATCTTTTCTGCAAAGGACCTGGAGCATCTCAGTGCAGGAGGAAGAAAGAGTTCGGTAAATCAGAGTGAAGCTGGGGAAAACATTTGTACTGCTGGGAGAAAGGGACAGGAAGATGGACCCTGGAGCAGTATGGGCTCTCCATTGCTGGAGGGTTGAAGAACATAAGGGCAATTACACCAGACAGCGCACAGCGCTGGCACCAGGCTCCATCAGGGATCAGGTTAAAATTTGAAAGGAGCTGGGCTTTGCTCCACCTGTCTTCTGAAATGCATGGCTCTTGTTGCTGTTGGAAATTGGATATTGGACTAGACGGACCAAGTGGATGGGCCCATTCTGTCTTCCAAGATGTTGCTGGGAATTGTCATTGCTCTCTCCAGCAGGTATAACATAAAGCCTTTTGATGTAGACACGTTCCCCTCAGGCAGCCAGGAGGTTTTTGTCTTCCCTGTTCCAGCCTCACAAACTCTGCCACACGGATAAATGAGAAACGTGCACGCAAAGGGACTGCTCAAACCACCAGCGAAGCATCAGCCTGAGCCTCTCAGCCTCAGCCCTTGCTCAGGACCTGACTGGAGGTGCAGAGTTTCAGCACACATCTCTGTAATCACGGTCCCAGGTTCTACCTTACCTGACTGGAGAGGAAACGGTGAGGACCAGCCTCCCAGCAGACGTAGCATTTTGCAGACTGTTTTGTCGCAAGAGACATCCAGGCCAATGCCAAAAAATGCAGATGGGCTAAAGCAGGTTACAGCACTCCGTGTACTCACTCCGGTGCTGGTCTCCACCTCAAAGTGCATGCGGGGACAGATGTGACGTTTGAGTTGGCCTACACAGCAGCAAAGCTGGGACGAGCACCCAGAAATGCCAAGGTGACGAAGGTGAAATTGCTCTGATCCTCTGTCCCACATCCACCCCTCCAAACCTTAGGGAGACTGAAAGACATTGAAGTAGCAGCTGAGGATCTTGTCCTTGGAAATCGCAGCAGGAACTCAGAAGTAAGGCTGAGCAGAGGCTTGCATGGTCATCGGCTGCCATCTAGTGTCGTCTGGACACCCAAAAGCCCTCCCTGGATTCATTAATTTCTCTACCCAGGCCTCAAATCCTGCCCATCCCATGAACCACAGGCCACGTCTTGCACTTGTGGATGCATCAGGATGGGCACCATCCACCTGCAGTCCCTGTGACCATCTTAGATTAGATAAAGCCAGCAAACAGATTATCGTGCATTCTCCTAATGCACCCCAGGATCCCATTGGCCTTCTTGGCAGCCAGGGCACACTGCTGGCTCCATGGTCAACCTGTTGTCCACCAGGACACCCAGGTCCCTCTCCGCAGAGCTGCTCTCCAGCAGGTCCGCCCCAGCTTGTACTGGTGCATGGGGTTGTTCCTCCCCAGGTGCAGGACCCTGCTCTTGCCCTTGTTGAACCTCATCAGGTTCCTCTCTGCCCAACTCTCCAGCCTGTCCAGGTCTCGCTGGACGGCAGGACAGCCTGCCGGTGTACCCACCACTCCTCCAAGTTTGGTGTCATCAGCAAACTTGCTGAGGGTGCATTCTAACTCTTCATCCACGTCATTGATGAATTAGGATCTGCTCGTACCTCCACTTCGAGCAGTGAGCCAGCTGGTAGATCAAGGGCAGGGGAGCTGGGCTGGGCTGGGCATGTGGACTGGGAGGGCTGTTCTCAGCACTGCTGCTCTGCCTGGGGATGGGGATGTGACGGGTCATTCTGCATCACGGCACAGCCAATCTGCCTCAAGAAAAACACACTGGTGCATGCAAGGGCATCTCCCAGGTAGATAAACAGTCTTTGAGAAAGGTGAAAATATCTTTAGAGTGCTTATCGTGCTGCTGAGCAGAGCCCTAGACCAGTATAACTCTGCAGGATCTCTGAGATCAGAAATGGGGGGTTCTATCAATTCCTTTCTAGCCCAAATAGATCAAATTTAGCCCCCGAATGTGCATGTCCTGGCTCTGCACTGTTGGTGAAGTTTGGGTAGCTGTGGAGGGTCAACTCAGTGTGCCCTGGCTGCCAAGAAGGCCAATGGGATCCTGGGGTGCATGAGGAGGAGTGTGGCCAGCAGGTCAAGGGAGGTTCTCCTTCCC